CATGCTCCCACTTCACACTTTTTGACTGCTTCGCCCAGTGACATCCGTTCAACTTTGCCGAAGAAGTTCATCATTAAATCTTGGATTTAAGTGAGATCGATCAAGTCGGGCAAAATTTTCTTCATTCGAGGATGACTCTTCACTCGCATTCACGGGACTCTTGCAAGCGATCACTGGCAGTCGAAGAAACATCGGTCTTGAGCGCAGACCTCTTCGGATGACAGAACAAATACACCTTATCAAAGAAGCGTCCATCCTGTACGACTCGTTAACGAGACGAGAGCAAGATGAGCCAGAACTTTTCGTTTCGCAATTCTCCAAAAACCCCTCCTCTAAACACTTAGAGGGTGATGATAGAGGAGTGAGGAGAGGGTGATGATTGTAAGATAGGAAGAGGATGATACTTACGGAGTAAGGAGAGGATGATGACGGTGAAATGAGGAGAGGACGATGACGGCGGAGTAAGAAGTGACTATTAGCGGCCTCTTCTTATCCGCATTTAAAAGGCGCCTCTCATTTAACCAGTATCATTCTCTTCTCGTTCAAGATCCACTTCACATTCAACCAGGATCACACATTTCCGCTCTCACGTTATCACACAGCATTAATTATAGCAATAAAATACAAACGCTATCCCTATCCTTTCACAAGAAGAGGTCACAAGTAGAAACGCCCAAATTCAGCGAAATGAACCAAGATCTTCCTCTTCAGACCGGATAAAACCTTTCAAAGTTTATGCAAAGTTATCTCGTGTGTCGCTCAAGATCGGATTATGACGTGGCAATCGAATAAGTGGCATAAGAGAAGAAATGGTACACTACACTTGACGTCAGCGTTTGTCTTTCCTTTGCCCTCCTTTTCATGCTTTCAGCTTACACTCTTTAGCTTGACATCTGTTCAACATTATCGAAGAAGTCCATCATTGGTTGATTCGGGCAAAGTTTCTTCATTCATAATGAATCTGTACTCGTATTCATCGGGCTCTTACAAGCAAACAACGGCAGTCTCTGGAGAAGAAGAGAAACTGTAAATGGATCCAGGCTAACGGTCCTGAGAAGGAGGAAGGGCAGAGGGAGGAAGGGCAGAAGGAGGGGAGGAAGGGAGGAAGGGAAGAAGGGAGGAAGGTGGAAGTGCAGGACTTAACGCAAGATTCCACACAGAATTCTTCAAGAGTCAGCGGAGCAGTCTCACCAGAAGGTAGTGGTGCAAGACTCAACACAAGATGCTACACAGAAGTCATCAAGAGACTGCTCCAGATGCCACACAGAGTTCGTCAAGAGTCAGCGGA